TTCTCCACAATGACATTATTGTCTGTTATGTTTTATTTGCATGTATATAAAGTGACCCCTACTCAAAATGATAATTTTTATTGTTCAGTGAGAAATAAAGCTAATTAATTATAAAAGGGCCATGTTTTAGATGATTTAAAAGTTAAAATCTGTTTAAATTTAATGTATTTGAAACTAGGACGCTCTGAAAAGTTATGTGATCTTGAAAAAAATATAATTTTTACAAAGACTGAAAGAAGGACAAATTAGAAGGAGAAAGCTCATTGTCAGGAAGAAAAAGGACAACTTATTGTCATCATTCAGAATGAAATAGATTGTTTAGGTTCAAAGTCCAGCTATACCATTGACTAAGTGTCTAACTTTGGGGAAATGTCTTAACTTCTCTATGCCTCATTGAGATTTAGAAAAAGAAACTTTATACTCTTAGAGCAGTTTTAGGTTCACAACAAAATTGAGGGACAGGTACAGAGCTTTCTCATATACCTCCTGTAACCACACATGCATAGCCTCCCTCATTAAAAATATCCCCCATCAGAGTGGTACATTTCTTGTATGTAATTGATGAACTTACATTGACACAGCATCACCCAAAGTCCATAGTTTACATTATGGTTCACTCTACATTATGGTACATTCTACATGTTTGAAAAATGTATAATGATATATATCTGTCATGCTATCATACAGAGTATTCTACTGTCCTAAAAGGTATCTGTACTTGGTCTGTTTATCCACCCACCCTCACAGCACCTGGCAACAATTAATCTTTTTACTATATCTATAGTTTTGATTTTTTTTCAGAATGGTATATAGTTGGAATCATACAGAATGTAGCCTTTATCATATTGTTGTTGTTGTTTTCACTTAGTAATATGCATTTAATGTTCCTCCATGTTTCTTGCCTGGCTTGATAGCTCATTTCATTTTTAGCACTTTATAATATTCCATTGTTTGGACATAGCACCATTTATTTATCTATTCACCTACTGAAGGGCAACTTGGTTACTTACAAGTTTTAGCAATTATGAATAAAGCTGCTATAAACACCCATGTGCAGGTTTTTGTGTAGATAATTCTCAACTCTTTGGGTTAAATACCAAGGTGTGAGATTGCTGGATTATATGATAGAATATATAGTTTTGTTTAGTGAGATATTGTATTTTTCAGGGTTTTAATAGGATGAATCAGATAATCAATATAAATTGCTTGGCAGAGTACCTGGCATATCAATCCATGTTAATTATATTTTCTGATATTATTTCATAAAAGATTATATAAAACTCAATTATTGAGTATGGATGGAAAAGTAGGTAGAGAAAAAATCAGAAGAAAAGTGTAAAATCATTTGATAATTAACTCCATGTGAAGTATTCGCATCTACAGCAGTCCTAGATATGCAGAATATGTTGTCTAATACTTGTTCCTCTGCCTGGAAGGAATACCTTGCCTTGAGTCTCCTAGTTCCCCACCCTCCCTTTGAACTAATTAAGAAGGATTATTGGTAATTGTAAGTAATGGTTATCCAATTCTTCAGATAAGAAAAAAGAGTATTGCTAAGTGCAACCTAGATCTGAATCATATAAACCTGATGAACAACTAAAGTTAAAATGGTATAGTGGAAAAATACTAGACACACAGTCTGGGGAACCAAGTTCATGGCCTAACTCACTCTCTATGGCTTGCTTTGTGAACTTGGATTTAATTCTTAGTAATCGAGTTTCCTCCACCATAAAATAGGAATGAGACTCCCTCACTGGTTATTAGAGAGCAAGATGAGATAATGAATGTGAAAGTAGTGCCTGAAATATTCAAGAAGTCAATAAGTGTAAGTCTAATTTTAATACATGGAGTCACTAAATAGCTTGCTCATAATTAGTGCCATGATAATAAATAAAAAATGCAAAGTCATCTGTCACCAATAGCATCTTGAGTAAATGTCATGTCGTGGTACATTTCTTACAATTGATGAATCTACCTTGACACATCATCACTCAATTTTGAATACCCAAATGCACTTGCAGAGTTATATTTTTCTCTTATTCTCTACACATAAAAGCATATTTCTACATTGCAGAGGGTTTGATAATAGAAATACATTGGAAGAAGCCAAAAAAATCATGTATTATTTCACTACCTGGAAATATTCAATTCCTTTTGGTTTTTTATCTTTCTGTATATAACAAGCTAAATCTCCAGAAAGATCAACCCAAATATATGTTTCTTAAAATGGCTATGTTAAGTACACATATTTGATTTCTGTTTTATTATAATATTCATGAGCATAGGGTTACATTTAAGTGACTATATGTTTGTATCTTTTTTGTTATTGTTAATCCTCTCCTGGGGATATTTTTTCATTGATTTTTAGAGAGAGTGGAAGGGAGGGGGCGAGACAGAGAAATATCAATGTGAAAGAGACACTTTGATCAGTTGCCAGGGATCAAGCTTGCAACTGAGGTACATGCCCTTGACTGGAATCAAACCCAGGACCCTTCAGTCCTAGGGCTGACACTCTATCCACTGAGCCAAACCATGCAAGGGCTAAATGACTATCCTATCTAATAATAGACAAACATGGTAATTGACCATACCTTTGCTACGCCTCCCATTGGCTAATCAGCACGATATGCAAATTAACCTCCAGCAAAGGTGCTGGTTAATTTGCATACATAGGCTCCAAGCAGTGGAGCAAAGCCTGACGGCCCTGGGCCATCTATCCACTGAGCCAAACCATGCAAGGGCTAAATGACTATCCTATCTAATAATAGACAAACATGGTAATTGACCATACCTTTGCTACGCCTCCCATTGGCTAATCAGCACGATATGCAAATTAACCTCCAGCAAAGGTGCTGGTTAATTTGCATACATAGGCTCCAAGCAGTGGAGCAAAGCCTGACGGCCCTGGGCCAGTGGAGCGACACATAGGCTCCAAGCAGTGGAGCAAAGCCTGATGGCCTGGGGCCAGTGGAGCAGCGAGGCCTCACGGCTCTGGGGCCGGCGGAGCAGTGAAGCTTGACGTTTCCAGGGCTTGGGCCCCGGGTGCCGGAGGCACACCGGTGCCAGCAGCCAGGGGAAAGGAAGGCCCATTGCACGAATCTCTTCATGCAACAGGCCTCTAGTATGTTAATAATACACAATACAGAACCTTTGTCTCTTTCTTCTTTTCTCCATCAAAGTATGCAGTTTATACAAAGGCTTCATTTTTATGCAAATTTTTATTGTTTTCTACTTGTTTATTTCCATTCTCCAGTTAAATAACATATCAGAGAATATCAATAGCATTTAAGCAGGCAGGAATTAGGGGAGAAAACCCTTATATGTAATGCCAGCCCAAATGGAGCAAGGGACCCTTTCATCTTGATTTTAAGCTCTCCTTCTATTCTGATGGCTTTGAAGTGCTCACTTGGGATGAAGCCACTCAGAAAAATTCAGCAAAATAAGTGGTTTGACGCAAGCAAAAATATAAACCCTCAACCTTTCCCAGCTTTGCATAATCATCACATTCGTTTACTTTATACTAAATTTGCCTTTGTGGAGGTTACATTAACCAAACATATTTCCCCCATTTTTTAAAAATCTCTGACAGTGCCTTCTCAGTCTGCAGCTAAGTTTCCCCAAATACTTAAATATTTGACAAGCACCAATTTTGTTACTAAGACTCACTCTAAATTATTAAATATATATAGATCTGTTTATTACTTTTAAAAAATGTTTTAAAATAATGTCTGCTTATAAGAGTAGCAGAATAGGCAAATTCGATTTCTTGATCTTCTTTTAAAGTAATTTTTACAGTGTCTAAACTCTGCTTAGTAGTAAAATTGTCCATATTATACACAGTTGTTTGTATGAAAAATAATACAATAATCAATAAGTAATAGTACAAGAATGAACTCTATGTTTCCTCTACTGTACTCATGACTCTAAATCTAAACCTACTTTTGCCCCACCCTGTACTGTCTGATTGCATTCGGGGGAAGGAAGCCACTGAAGTGTCATTTGTTGCACAGAGCAATACTCTAAAACTTTCAATATTTCATAACGTGACCCACGTTTATTTACTGAAAATAAATATCAATTGAGCACCCACTATGTTGTAGATGTTGGGAGTGTAGTGGTGAAGTCAGACAAAGTCCCATTTCATATGGAGTTTACAATTAAGAAGGAAGGCTATGCATAAATTAGTAAGAGACTCTTTGATAATGTTATCAAGTCTTATGTCCACTTATTTTGTAAGAGGTACATTCTCTTTCTTCATCTTGTTAATGGGTAAATTAACTTTTTAATCTCTAAATAGCACATTTAGTAGGATTTTTTTGGTTGGTGTGGGTGGTAGTATTTTTGTTGTGTGTTCTTTGATGATCTGGTATGTACAGTCACAACATTGCTCTCTATAGGAATAAAAGTGTAAGATTTTTTGAGGGGTTAACAAAATTAGCCAAATTTAAATTTCTATATTATTAATACACTAAGAGCCCAGCGTGCGATTCGAAATTGTGTGGTGCCACCCACTCCCTCTCTGGCCCTTGAAGCAGCCACAGCCACTGTTGATCATGCCCTCTCCCAGCCCAGGCGCGCGGAGGCCCCTGCTGTTCCGCCCCCAACACTGCGGGAGCAACCACCTCCTATCCGGTCAACCCATTACGGTGTCCTGGTTAATTAGCATATTTCTTTGTTTTTACATATATATATATATATAATCATACTAATGTTAAGTTCAATACAATATATCTGATACATTTTGAAATATATTTTATCCACTCATCTAAGCAGCATGCTATAATAAAATGTATATGTTAAATATAATGAATTCAAATTTTTTGAATGTTGGAATCAAGTTAATTTAATAACAGCAATATATGTATATAGCCAGTCATTTGCGTCATTTTTTTCATTCTTTACATTCAAAAGATTAGATTTTGATTTTTTTAATTTATGTTGGAATGTTGTTTTTCCTTAATCTGAAATGTGTCTTCAAATATGTTTTATTCCCTTTTCAGGAATTTGCTGCACTGACAAAAGAATTAAATGCATGTAGGGAACAACTTCTAGAAAAGGAAGAAGAAATTTCTGAACTTAAAGCTGAAAGAAATAACACAAGAGTAAGTGTAAAACTGCCTCTGCTTGAAATTGATTCCATATATAATTCAGTGCCTTATCTCTTATATGGGCATCAAAAATAAATATTTAAAAACTTCAGGAAGACTTTAAGCAGACATCACTTACAGTCGGTTACTTATAGTAAAGGACAATATACTACAAAACTCAAAACAGGAAGACAGGAAACCTAAATTAGAGTTTCGGGTACTAAATTACTATGTTGCCTTAGAAAATGTCCTTTTCCCCTGTCCTTTTCTCTTTTTTCAATTTTAAAAAGAAAGGCTGGGTTTCAATACAGAATTTCAAACTTTCAAAGTGTTGTACTGGAGTGGGCGACCAATACCGCAGAGGCCGGAGATAGGCACAGGGGAGAGGTTTGAGGGGGGAGCGTGAGTTTCGATTATGAGGTAATATGAGGGACTGTTGTGGCATTGGCCTTACCTCACCCAGCAAAATATTTATTTATAAAAAAATTTTAAAAGTTTTAAAATGCAAAACCACTGGAACAGAAATCCCCAAGTTAAAAGAGACCTGCTTTTTCTGTTTTAGAAGATTGTCATGGAGACTTTCATTCCTGATTTCTGAGTTTAGGAAACTGATGGAATATACTATATTCTCCTCTTGAAAACCCACATATTGTTTCAATCTCATGACATTTAACATTCAAGTTCAAAATGTGATTGAAGATGCCGTCTTTTCTAGCTATGAAGTCACTAAATTTAATAAAATATATAAATTACCATAATGCCCAGAAATGAAAGCAGCTATTCTACTAATGAACGTAGAGAAAAAATACTTTTGTGTGTAGTTCAACTTTATATAAAGTAGGTGAAAAATATTTTAAATGTTAGAGTTCTAACAGATTAATGCTGAGAAAACAAGTTATAGTTAATGTACTTGTTCATTTTATGCTTGGTCTTAGAGAGTAATATAAAAATTATAGCTTCATCAACAGTGAGCTAGTGCGCTAATGAGAGATACCGCTACATGAACAATGGTTATATCATCAGATTCAGTTTATCTCCTTATTCATCAGGGGCTTGTTTTATGCGTGTGCACACAGGAACTGGTTTTTATTGTGACTTTGATGAGCCAGTCTCATGGTGCTCCAAATAGGACAAAATGAGAAGTTTAGATCATGTTATTTAGGGGTCCGATTAATTTTTTTTTCTCCCTCTATATATTGCCCCACCCTTGACTTTTGAGTTACACTGTATTTTTTCCCCACCCAAATTTAAAGTTTATTTCTGCCATGAGCTTTATTCTGCCCGGTTTCACTGCTCTCTATTTTAACACTTTTGGCTACATTCCCTGATGTAGCACAATATGCCAATGTAAAAGTAGGAGCCGGAACCTGAAAATGGTGGGAGATGCAAACCTCCAGGTAGCTTTCAACTATTTCTCATATTTAAAATGCACAGAAACTCTCTTATTGGTTGTGTATCTATTTCTGCTTCATGTAGCCTTTCTTTCCACATCCCTGTTACCCCTTTCCACAGCCCTATGTGGGAGATGTTATAATTATCTCCATTTTGCAGATGAGTCAGCTGAGCTCAGAAAAGGGCAGATAACTTGCCAGAAGTCATGCAGTGATAAATAGCACATAAGGGATTTAAAAACTAAGGCAGAATAACTCCAGAGCATGTACCCTTAGCCATAAGGCCTTCAGCACAATTATTCAATTTAAATCCATGAAAAAACGCCTAGATTTACTACAGCTTATATGAGACATTGCCTAAGAATTAATCGCTACCATATAGAGTATGTCCGTTCTCCTTAATTGTGACTAATTTCAGAGAACTGGGAGATTTGGGGACATCATCCACACAGTTTTCACCATATTATACCCCAAGAGGTCCAAAGTATCTTTGACTATTGTACCTGCAAAGGAGCTTGGGTAATAAAAGAACTAAGGCAAGCTATATTTGCAATACCTATTCAGGAGTCAATGTGAGCAAAATACAAGTATTAAGTTTCATTAGGACAGTAGAAATTGAAGCCATTGATTTTAAACATGAATAATGTTACTTTGAAAACATGGATAAACCTGGAGAATGTTTTTCATTCCTTTCTTTTAAAATTCATTTAAAATTATTTTTGATATACAATACTATATTACTTTCAGGTGTACAAATTGGTAATTAGACATATATGTACCTTATGAAGTCATCACCGAAATCTGTCTAGTACTCATCTGCCACCATTCATAGTTATTACAGTATTATTGACTATACTAGAAGCCTGGTGCATGAAATTCATGCACGGGAGAGGGGGAGGTCCCTCAGCCTGGCCTGCACCCTCTCCAATGCAGGACTCCTCAAGGATGTCTGACTGCCAGTTTAGGCCCAATCCTAACTGGCAGTCGGACATCCCTCTCACAACCTGGAACCGCTGGCTCCTAACTCCTCACCTGCCTGCCTGATCACCCCTAACCTCTCTGCCTGCCTGCCTGCCCTATCAACCCTAATCACTTCTGCCTACCTATATGCCCCTAATAACTGTTCTCCTGCCAGCCTGATTGCCTCCTAACTGCTCCCCTACTGGCATGATAGCCCACTAACTGCTCCACTGCCTGCCTCATCACCCCTAACCGCCTCTGCCTTGGCCTCTGCCACTGCGGCTTTGTCCAGAAGGACATCCAGAAGGTCATTTGGCTGTCCGGTCTAATTAGCATATTGCTCTTTTGTTACTATAGATTCCCTACAGCCCTGTGACTATTTTTATAATTGGTGGTTTGTACTTCTTAATCCCCTTTACTTTTTTCACCTGTCCTCCACCTAGAAAACATTTCTCTACTTTCCTTAAAATCAGTTATATGGAGGATTTTTTTGTTGATTATGTCAAAGGAAAATGAATTTATGAAGTCTTCCTTGTGCAAAGTATTGATTATATGACAACTACCTAAGTTACATAATCACCTCTGACCTTCTCCACCACACAAAAAATATAAAGGGCTAAAAACTAGCCATACCTGTCTCTTCCTCCATAATGCCCTACTAAATGTTGCTAAATATAACAGTTTTATAGATTTTATATAATCATTTTTCTTCTACATATTGTGTTTTCCCCTTGCTATAAACACCTACTTATTGGTCATTTAGAGAAAGTAACAAGCTAGTATTTTCTTCTCACACCTGCAAAAATTTTTGATTGGTGTTAGATTGTGAGAAAGTTTAAAGTAGATTTGCATGTTTTAATTTCCACAGTTCTCATAAACTTGTCCTTTTATCTTGAGTAGTTAACATATGGGTTGAAATAACACAAAAAAAAGACAATCACAAAGAGAACTCATAAATGGATAGAGGTATTTGTGTTAATTTTGAGTATCATAAAAAAAATAGATCAGAAGGGCCCTCCTGTTTGATATTTGGATTAATTATACCTTCTTTGAAATAGAAAATGGAAGTTTTCAATGGAGTTGAATGAATAAAGTTTATTTAATATATCAAGTAATAAAAATGATAATATAATAGCTAAATTAATTAAGTACAAAATGTTTTTCTAAGGGTTTCACATGTTTAACCCACTTTATCCTTGTGGCACTCCCACTTTCCCCACTTGACTGATGGGAAAACTAACATAATAAGTAACTTGCATCAGGTCACATGACTGATAAGTGACACACCCAGGGAATCCATTGCTCAGCTTAACCACAGGTGATGTATCTAAGAAATCATATTCCTATGTAATTCACAAATCACATGTGCTATGACAAAATTGTGTTTAAGGAAGAGCAGAGTTCTCTTTTTTTTTGTAATTCATTTCTAATCTGTTCAATAATTTATTTTTGCCTCAATTGTGTGGAAAATAATGTACTAGGTATTTATTGTGATGTCCAAGCTGAAAGTTGTGGCTATGTATCACGTTGTCACTACAGAAACAATTGGTCCCCTGCCCCGAAATATGAGTGAATGAAAATCTAACTGCCTCAAGTAATTAAATTGAGGACATCCAAATAAAAGCATTCTAATGTTATACTTGATTGTACAAATATTATAGCAAGTATTTACAGGAACTATTAAACAAGCTTTATTGTTTAATATTTCCACACTAATAAAATATAGAAAAAGGTGATTAAACAAAACTTGTCATTCTTAAAACTCTGATCACACTTAGACAAAGTTATACTTAGAGAAAATAACTTATTCCTGATGTTATTTCAACTTATTCAATTTGATTACTAAAATTTACATGGCTTTTTCTTCAGAATTATCTGAATTAATGAAGAGATAAAGGAAAACCAAAAATGTTGATATAGTTACTATCTCTTAATATCAGAGTGGAGAATTTTTTAATATGTTTTTATTGATTTCAGAGAGGAAGGGAGAGGGAGAGAGAGATATAGAAACATCAATGAAGAGAGAGAATCATTGATCGGCTGCCTCCTGCACACCCCACACTGGGGATCCAGCCTGCAGCCTGGGCATGTGCCCTAATCGAGAATCGAGCCTTGACCTCCTGGTTCATAGGTCGACGCTCAACCACTGAGCCACGCCAGCTGGGCTCAGAGTACATAATTTTTGTTGTTGTTTTGGAACTGTTTCAACTGTTTTTGTGTGGCTGACGATCTCAAAGGATGGTTGTAACGATTGCATAACTTTGAAAAGAAAGCTTTGATTTCAAAAGTCAGAAATAACAAAGCTGAAATCTCATCTCATGGGTCATAAACTAAAACTAAGACCTAATTGTCCTTGATTCAAATTAAAGACCTAATTTAAATCAATTCTTACTATGCCCTCTTATTTTTATCTAAAGGGATTATATAAATGCTCAAATACAGAAACTTGCCACTACCAAAGAAAAGCTTCCCATTAATGACAAACCTTTCTACACAAGTTCATAAACTTCCTCCAAAGACATTTCCTCAATGATTATAAAATACAATCCAATTGAGGAAAAAGAAGACCCGAGCAGTGAAAAGCAGGTGAAGATACATGTGTATGCATATATGGGTGCTTTCTACGTCAGTGCCACTTGTGATTGTAAATAATTGTGCACAATGTTATGTCAGATTCAGGTATTAATATAAAGATGTATAGTTTTAGAAATTTAGTTAAAAAATATCCAATGGTGCCATATGTGTGCATGCATATATGACATGTTTCTTTGTATATCTATATATGCTGTGGTCATTTAAAGTGAATTCCAACATAGGATTAATGGCCATTCATATAGTTCCTGAATTTTTTTTTTAGTATACCTCTGCAAGCTTTATTAAATATTATACTAAAGTGTGGCTTCCAGAAAAGGTACAATTAGCAGATATTTAGTGTTATCTTATATTAGTTCTTTTTATTTTTAATTTATTTTAATTTGTAAGCTTAAAAGCCATAGATACACCCTACATTAGAATATGTGTAGGCACATTATCCATGCTAGATAATTTACATTTATCATTAATTTAAATCGTCAAGTACTAAGCATATGTTATGTAGAATATTTTCCTAGGTATTGAAGAGTATTCAGGATAAGTTAATTTAAGCTCTTAAGGAGTCTGTTTTATAATAATAAAAATATATTTGGTTTTATTATTATATAGATGAGAGTTCCTAGTTGCACATAAGAGTACAGCTTAGCTGTTTTAATCAAGAAAACATTAATTAAGGTATATAAAAATCTCTAAACTGAGCTTCCAGGCACAATTTCTAGGACCACATTTCTTAGTCTTGTAAATTTTCCTCACACCCCCCCCCTCCCCCGTCCCAGTAACATGCACCCTCTGCTGCTACCTGTGCCAGCAAAACAGATGCCCCGCCCATCACGTTTCCTCTTCTCACCCCTCAGAATCCATCCTGTGCATGTGGCTCTGATGAGCTGACTCTAAAGTCACATATCTGCCACCTAGTGGTAGCCATGACTGAGAAATGTTACTTGGATCCTATGTTACTGAGACAATAGCATTCGGAATGTGGGGAACTATTAAATATGGAGGGTTTGTTCATAAGATTTGGGGAAACCACAACTGTCAAGTCTACAGTACAGTCTACCTTTTATCAGCCCCTTTTCCATATTAAAATTCTAAACAACAGTATTACCGACATGTATCCACTCAACAAATACTTATTGTGTATCTATAGATGTCAGGAACTAAGCCAATATTCAAATACCCAGATCATTTAAATCAAGATAAACATAGTACCTACCCTTGTGGAGTCTATATTTTAATGAGGAAACTGAATAAAATTTAGTGAAACTGTTCATGAGAAATAACACAGCATGATATGTTGTGAGAAAATAAGCAAGAGATTCAAATAGAGGATTATGGAGGCTGGGAAGAGGAGAGACCTACCTTACATAGAGTATCAAGCAAGTGTTTCTTTGAGAGGGCGATGTTTAAACTAAGACTAAAGAATGAGAAAGAGCTGGTCACATGAAGAGCCAAAGGAAGAGTATTCCAGGCAGAAATTTCAACATATGCAAAGGCTCGGCATATTGAGGGTACAAAAGTAGGCATATGTGGTTAGAGCATGCTTTGCCAGGGAAAGACTAACAGCAGATGATGTTGGAGAAATAGGCAGGGTTAAGTGCATAAAATGCTATATAGCCTACCTGAAACTGATTAGATTTAATGAATTCTGGCATGTATCTATAGAATTCAGGAGTAGAATATCATGAATATAATCAGAAGTTGATAAATAAAATGAAAACTCCTTGAAATATCAATATTTGTGTAATCTTCATACAGAATTTCTATTACAATTATTTTGACCCTTAAACATGACCTCTACCTACTGATTTGTATATGTTTAGAATCTCAGGTTTCTTTATGCCAGTGGCATGGAAAAGTTTTCTGACACTGACCCATAATTAGAAACAGTAAGTGTAGAGAACTTATTAACTTAATAAACGTTAAGAAATATGATACTAATATGTGACATTGAATCTAGCAATGACATTATGAAAATCAAAAATTTTCATTACTGTGTAAGCTTTAGGAAAAAATCTTGGGGAAAAAACTAAATTGTGTTTTTTTTATTTCCACCCCAGTATCTTCTATTTGGTTTTTTCTCTTGTTTGAATAACTTCTGCTTTATTTTGTACAGACACCATTTGTTAGCCTACGCTTCCATCATCCTCCTGAAAAGCTCTCCTACAAAACCAACTGGTCATGTGTTATTCTTCAATAGCAACATTTTAATAACTGATAACCCAGTAGTTTTTTTTAAAATTTTTCTTCTCATGTATCTTTGCTTTTAGTGGCAGAACTCCCTCATAAAATAAAATAAAGGTGATATTCTAAGTCATGAAACATTTAAAAACAAACTTTGTCTGGAAAAAGTCAAAGCATAGAGTCTGTAACATACTGAAACCACTGGACTTCTATCTATCCTGGGCTTCTATCATGGCTCCAGTGGCCACTCTGGGTAAATGAAGGTTCTAGACTACTCAGTTTAAAAAGTATTTATACCTGAAATTAATATATATATAACATGTGAATTGTAATTAAAAAATAAAAAATGATTTAAAATAAAATTACGTCCTTTAACCTTTTTTTCCAAAATGACTATTGCTAATTTCAGTTACTCTATTCCATTTGACTGCATACATTTTTATGATATAATTTAAGAATTAATTGTACATAAAATTATTAGCGATTATCACTAATAATTACTATAGCAACTGTAATTGTGATTATTACTGTAATCACTATACAACATGTGATTATCATTACAATCACATTTAAAGCCATGTGATTATTATGTACATTTCCTTCAAATAAAAAAAATGTAAATAACCAAATATAAATGGAATTAATTTTGACTTTAAACATTATTAACAAAACCATCATGCATTGTGCAATGTTCTCTAATAATTTTCATATTGGGTCACACATATTACATTGTGTTCTACTGAATCCATACTCAAATGGTTAAATTTTCCAAAAGAATGTATACAATTTACATTATATTTTTAAATTCAGTAATTTTTCATATAATAGAACTGCAATTTAGTTGACTTCCCCCATCACCTTTATCCCCTCTATGCCCTCTTGCAATGCTATTTAGTTTTAATGTATTTTATGAAGCCTGGTTTGGACACAGGTTTGCACTTTTTGCCACTTACCTGTATTATAATCTGAGGTTATCATTAGATATTATGTAAACCTACAATATTTTAAGGAAGCCATTTTTAAGAATTAATGATTCAAATCTATAAGATAATTCTATTTTCTGTTAAACTCAACAGCTGTTACTGGAGCATTTGGAGTGCCTTGTGTCACGACACGAAAGGTCACTAAGAATGACGGTGGTAAAACGGCAAGCCCAGTCCCCCTCGGGAGTTTCCAGTGAAGTTGAGGTTCTCAAGGCACTGAAATCTTTGTTTGAGCACCACAAGGCCTTGGATGAAAAGGTACAGTATTGTAAAACGGATGCTTACAATCTTACATGTCAACTTTACTTCAAAAAAGCTATATTTTAAAAAAAAAAACTTTACTAAAAATAAAAACTATGGTAATGGCAAAAGATTTCAGCTTCACTGTGCTTTTGCTGAAGATTACAGCAACTGTGCTCCTTGTCTTCATCCATGAGACTCCTGACTCCTGAACACTCAGCTCAGAGGAACACCTTTGAGTTATAAGAAAATTATTTTTAATAAATGCAACAGGATTACTGTGTGTATATTGGTAATATTCATCACTATGTGAATCAGTCCCCCTCGGGAGTTTCCAGTGAAGTTGAGGTTCTCAAGGCACTGAAATCTTTGTTTGAGCACCACAAGGCCTTGGATGAAAAGGTACAGTATTGTAAAACGGATGCTTACAATCTTACATGTCAACTTTACTTCAAAAAAGCTATATTTAAAAAAAAAACTTTACTAAAAATAAAAACTATAGTAATGGCAAAAGGTTTCAGCTTCACTGTGCTTTTGCTGAGGATTACAGCAACTGTGCTCCTTGTCTTCATCCATGACACTCCTGACTCCTGAACACTCAGCTCAGAGGAACACTTTTGAGTTATAAGAAAATTATTTTTAATAAATGCAACAGGATTACTGTGTGTATATTGGTAATATTCATCACTATGTGAATGTTTTTAATGCCACTGGATAAATGGCTTCTCAAGTGAGACTTCTGTTATGGTACATTATGGTCCAACTCCCTATTGCCAGTTGAAATTTAATATTATCATTCAGCTTTTCTCTCTCTCTCTCTCTCATTTTCGCTTGCCCCACCTCTCTTTGAAATGCATGTATATAGATGCCAACATTAGAGACAACTAATTGGCAAGTAAGCATATCTTGAGGTATATATTATAACCATACAGTATTTATAGGTCTCTAATATCATAGTTTTGAATATACATTTTTAAGCCTCTGAAGATAATAGCATAAGGTATTAGTAGAAAAACCTACTTTAGGTCTTTTTTAAAGTAGCCATAAATTTCTTTCAGCTGGTCCTCAGATGGATTCTACTGACATAAGCCAATATGATGATAATATTCTTTGCAGGTTAGTAAGGTTTATGACGTAATTTCCATTTTGTAAATTTTAAAGAATGAACATTTAAAAATGAATAAAGCTTTAGGATTTTGTAAAGTGGAAATTGGGTCACTTCATTGTAAACTATCAGAAAAGTTCTGAGCATTAAAATCCAAACTAGGGATTCTTACCCAGTTATATCTAGGTTTTGACATGTAGGCACTCTTGCTCTATTTAATATTTATATACATATGTATTTTTATCATTGGTCTTTCAGATGTTCTTTGATCTGGGGATTATGTGGAATATATACATAATGATAACTATAGTTCTGTTTTCCAGATGATTAGGAATAAATTATTTTTTATTTTAGCTCTGTGAGGTGACTTATTTATGAATATTGAATAAAACAAAATGAAAATTATATAATGATTCCTGATAAACATAATATCAACAAATATTGCTTATCAAATCATCATTTAATATATTTAATGTTGTTTCATATTATATCCCCTTTCTTATTACAAAAGTATATTGTTAAGAATCTGCAAGACTTTATAGAATATCTGTTATGTGTCAGACTCCTTGGCAGCTATTTGGCACAAAAAGATAAATAATATATTCTTCTTACAACTGCAGATTCACATGTCAATAACAGGCACTACTAAGAAGATGTGTATAATGCGATACGGAGTCACAGAAAGAATTGTGACTTATTCTGCTTGAGAAAGTGACAAGGAAGTCATGAATGCATTCATAAAGGGGGTGATTTGATCTGGGTATTAAAAATGTGTCAGGGTTTTTTAAGCGGAGAAATAAAGATACTTTAAACACTGCAGCCAATATATAATATAACCCAGAGGTATATGAAGAACATGGCCTGTTCAGAGAAAATTTTAAATAACTTGAATGAAGGAACTTGAGAATGTGTGGTTTGGGATGCTCCCTGGAAGCACCCCACATCATTTAAGTGAGGAATACTTTTATGCAGGAATGAATAGAAAGCAATAAACAGCATTTAAGACAATCAAAGCTCTTAGCTCATGCTCAGCATGTGTCAAATGCTCAGTAAATATTAAATGAATATTACTATTAACATGAGTACCAAGTTTCAGCATTTGACAAAACTTTAGAACTATGTAAAGATATTATCACTGTTGACCTTCATGCTTATTTTAAATAGTATTTCAGCCCTAACCAGTTTGGCTCAGTGGATAGAGTGCTGGCCCATGGACTGAAGGGTCATGGGTTTGATTCTGGTCAAGGGCATGTACCTTAGATCCCCAATAGGGGGTGTGCAGGAAGCTGGCTGATGTTTCTCTCTCATTGATGCTTCTATCTCTCTATCCCTCTCCCTTCCTTTCTCTAAAATCAGTAAAATATATTTTAAAAAATAAATAAATATTTCATTTAGTTGTCGAGGAATTAATATGTGCCTAAGGACCTTCATAGACAATTTATCTAACTAAGAATAGCTCACAGCTTCTCATGATGATAAGAATGTGTGAGGAAACAGACATAAAACAAGTAATTAAAATATCCTAATTTAATTTATGGACATTATATTAAAATATAGATAGAAGATTAAATGAATATGCAATTAACTATATCTTGAGAGCAAGAAACTACCAACTTTATCATAGGACACCTGAAGAGCTAAATGCAGCATAAAAGCTTGAGCATGCTATGGACAATTACAATGACTGGCAGTCTTCATTACTGATGCCCTTATTCATATATCCACTAAGTTGTAAGGTAGGATTTTTGCAATTAGCTAAGACCAACAGTAATTTTGACATCCCTCTCTAATATATTCATAAATTCTATAGGCTGGAGGAAATAAAAATATATGTGTTTTGTATTGACTATTTTTTTAAAAACATATAGGAGATATATGGCAACTATAGCAAAAATATCAGATATTTATGCACTCCCCATTAATTCCTGTGATCTAATATAACAGTACCAAAACTGGATTTGAACTTTTGCTATTTGAAGATTTCCTCGCAATGGTGTTGTTACAAGATGGATAATTCCAAAATGAAATCCTGCCATGACTTAATACTTATTTAAAATGTATGCTTATTCCACCAACATTTCTTTTCATTCTGAAACACATTTGTTGTATTTAGGGATTTATTTTATTTTAATTCCCAGGGATACAATTTCTGTGGCTTTGAAACATCCTTTGGGAAGAAAAAAACCCACATAATTATTTTTATAGCATTTTGAGGAATATAGATGTCACCAATGAAATTATATATCAAATATGCTATACGTACATAAAATATATATTTTGGGGGTTATACTATAGCTCTCTAAACAAGCAAGCAATATATCTTAATGTAAAGACTATGCAGGAATTGATGAATTGAACATAGTCAAATAAAAAATATTAATAAAGTTAAGCTTAGAGCCAAGGCTATAAATTGTGTACTTATATTTAGGGGGAAAAAGAACACCAAATCCTACAAGAAGAATTGAGGTAATTATGGCATCCTGCTGATGCTATGCTCAGAGCAGAGCAAAAAAGGTGAAAGGCTTGTAAGATGTACTATTTTTTTTCCTATCAATGGAGTTCCACCTATGTGCACAAGGTAAAATGTTAGTGTTCTTTACTAGTACACCCTGGAAAAGTTACCCTTTTGTCCCACCTATTGTTTCTTTACTAACTTTAACATGATGAATTATATAGAGAGAACAATTTCATCTTAACCCTTTTCAGTCGACAGACCAGGCACTAGGAGCAGGTCCAACATCGAGGCTGAGGTCGACACTGCAAACTGGTTCAACATTCAATCCCGTCAATTAATTTGGACTAGACTGTTTGAATTCCAAAAATAAAATTGGACCGCAAAGGGATAATATAAATGTGAATAAAAATTAACCTAATGTATTGATATTTATATCAGCAGTGTTTACATTTAGAACATTAATTCAAAATATATTCAGAAATTATTTTTATTTTCTTGTAAAGACAGCTTCAGATTCATTACTTTGTGGATAATATAATATCAAGTTTTTAATGCTGTTCTAAATTTATTGAGGGGTGATGCTGTTTCCTTGAAGGCTCAGTATAATGGGAATATAAATGTTTAACCTATAAGATAGCCTGGTTTCAGCCACTCTTATATGACTTGGATAACTATTAGAATCATTCCAATGTATTAATATATCTTTTAAAATATGGTACCTTAACCTCTTCACAGCAGTCTAAATGAGATCCAATCAATGTTACATATAGTGAAATCATCTAATCTAATAAAAGAGAAACATGCAAATTGACCACACCTCCACTATGTCCCAAGCCAGCCCACCAGCCAATCAGAGCGACTATATGCAAATTAACCCAACCAAGATGGCGGCCGGCAGCCATGGAGCTGGAGCAAGCAGGAGGCTTGGTTGCCCCAGCGATGGAGGAAGCCAAGCTTCCCGCCTGCCCTGGCCGGCTGTGGCCTCCACTCAAGGCAACAAAGTTTCAATTATAGAAGCCAAATAAATCCCAGATACCTGCTTCCAGCCAGCCTCCATTGGGAGCTTGGGTGGCTGGGGGACGTGGCCAGCCTGCAAACAGCCATCAGCCCCTCACCCAG